GGATTAGGATTGTTTACAAGTTGTTGTTGTCGTTGTTATCCCCTGAAATAATAATTGATGTCAGTAAGCTGTCAGTGAGCGTTTTGTCCTTCTTTTTTTACGCCAAAATGAAAGCTTGTGTTTCGGAAAATGCTGCTTTTATGTTTCCCGTTCATTCATGTTCCGATTCCCTGGGATTTGAGGAACTTGAGAGCGTTTATCTCGACTCTCAGGCTGTTTTCATTGTGCTCAGGTAATCACGGAAAGACTTTTTGCTTCCCTCTGATACTCTGAGGATTATGTTTGCTTCCCCCTCAAAGAGATCTGATTGTGGATCCTGATTAGCCCCCCCCCCACAGCGAACATAATCAAAGCCACCTACATCTCCACTTAATCAGGTTAGCTTCCCTTAGCAAGTGTTCCCCACACCCCTCCACACGTTTAAGCGCTCTTTTAAGAGGGGAAACATGGTGATTACCCCCCCGGAGCCCCCGTACTCCTCTCATCCTCTCAGATTGTGTTTTTATCTCCTCACCATGTCATCTTCAGTTAAAATCTGATTCTGTTTTCCTCCATATCTAATCTGAGTCGAGGCAAAAGCCAAGACCGGGTTTATTTTATTTTATTTTATTTTATTGTATTTATTTATTTATTTATCTATTTATTTATTTATTTATTTATTTATTTATTTATTTATTTATTCATTTATTTATTTATTTATTTATTTATTTTATTTTTTATTTTTATTTATTTATTTATTTATTTATTTATTTATTTATTTATGTATTTATGTATTTATGTATTTATTTATTTATTGATTCATTTATTTGTTATTTTTTTATTCACTCATTCATTTATTTATTTGTTTATTTATCTATTTATTTATTTATTTAATCAGGACAGTGCACATTAATGAACAATCTTACACTTCTGTACAGATTGTAAATGAGTCAGATTATAATTTATTTTTGTTTTTTCTTTTGACATATTTTGTTAAAAGGCCAAATAAAGACTTCAAACCAAAAAAAAGTAATTTTCTGTTTTGTTTTATTCTTGAATCGGGCTTTAAAGGGTTAAACAACTATTTTTAAAATGAATACAATGTTCAAAATTTAGCATATTATATTTTTCCAAAACATTACACTGATGGAATGACAGGGGCTTTTGATCAAAGATTTTTAAAGATTTTTTGAATAATATTTCTATCTATCGGGTTCATCCCGACAGCATAAGCCCGCCTGTTTCCCGGGTTTCCGTGTTGTCCTTTAACCCTTTAAAGCCTGATCCAAGAATAAAACAAAACAGAAAATGACTTTTATTTGTTTTAAGTCTTTATTTGGCCTTTCAACAAAATATGTAAAAAGAAAAAACAGAAATACATTTTTGATATTAATAATTTATTACTATGTGATAAGTCCAGATTATTTTTTGTGTATCTTCTGCCCCCTGTTATCAGGTGTATCTGATTGTGTTCAATAGGATTTAGAGCAAAGTTTTTACCATTAAATTATGCAAAAGGAGTCAGACGCAAAACATTTCAGAAACCGTATCAGATATGACACATTTGGCATTATAGGGTTAAATATCTTTATGGTTCCTACGATTTTTATCAGATTTTTGCTAAATTTACTCTTTTAATCTCAACATGGACTTTAATTCCCGCTTTAGTTTAATTCTTTTTTTTTGTTTGTTTTTTCTTTTTTCTTTTAATCATCATGTAATTTTTAATCTTTTATCTGTATTTCATGCTTCTTGTCTCCTTTAGTCTTTATTAATTACTGATCGCAGCACTTTTTAGAAGGTAAAATGCATTTTTATTATTCTCTTTCGGGCTCTTAACCAGGTTAATGGAGTGGTAACATCTGAATCTCGTTGGTGGTTCTTAACTGGAACCAGGAGTAAATGTTAATTTTATAACCAGATATAGCCTCAAATTCATCAAATACGGGTCGTAAGGCATTGAGGGATTTCTGTAAGTCTGACACATACGAGATAATATCATCTGCAAACAAAGATATCACATGCCTTAACCCTTTGATTTGAATAGGTGAGATAATATGACACATTTGGCATTATAGGGTTAA